CCCCCAAAAGTCATCAGAACAGCCCACAGACAATACTGGTGACTAGTCCTTTGCACTTGCCTGCAGTTTTTGGACAAAGCTTCCATCTCTCAAGTCCTTGTTAAATAACACGAATGCATACACCCTCTCCCTATAACCACCAAGCTTTTCAACAAACTCGTATTTACATGTGTGATCTGTAAATGTGTAAAAAGCTGAATAAACTAAAAGGCAACGAATGTGCAATTCAAGTGTCAAAATATAAAGGACTATTAAAGACAAAAGACGCATTTCATTTTTTTTAGAATTGTTTTAAACTCGTGATGGACTAATACCATTCTGAAACAAATGCTGCATTTGATTACATAGGAGAATGGTTTATTATAAAAGACTGTACATACATTTTTTTTAACAGGTTATATACAAATGAAAGAAAAAAAATACCAATTTGAAAATAAAGAAACAAATTACTATATAGGTTTTCATGTTGTACAGCAAGAGCATTTCAATCAAATAATGGTTTAAAATTTAGGATACAAAAAATTATTTCACAGCAGAGCTCTTCATTGAGTACAAAATAAGTCTTATGGTTCACTAACTCTACAATACGAGTTGCCATATATAAAAGGGAGATCAACTTGAGATTTATTTTAACTGAATTTGTATCAAATTTGCTTTATGTGTTGTACCTGCCCCATGTCAAAATCGCCAGAGAAGCCATAGAAAGGCAGAATTTTGGATGATCATCTGATATTTGCCGGTTCCTCAATAGCCAAGAGTAGAAAAAGTTTCAAGACTCCTCATGTTGGAGCACGACACACGAGAGTCCATGAGCAGAGGCAATTTTCAGTTGGGAAGAACTAACGGTTGGGATTTCCCATGGAGGAGCCAGTGAGGAATTTAATTCACCAGAACCATCCAATAGATAATCAAGAAATTGAACTCTGCTCTTTGCAGCCTACCCCCCTTCAGCTGCCCTAATGAAGGAATCAGTATTTTTTCAGCCTATCAATATTGCCTTCCAGTGTCAGAGGTGCAATGTATAAACCAATGAAAAGGCCTGACCCTAACATGCAGCTCACATCAGCAGACATATTCAGCTATTCCGAATACGGTCCTCTGTCCTCGTAAGGCGACAATTTAACAAATCTTACTAGCAGATCATTCATAGAAATGATATAGAAGGCAGCCTGGATTGTAGACTCAGCCCTTTCATAATGCAAATATACCTCTCAAGACTTCCCATGTGTTATTTTACAGTCTGGTCCTCTAGAAAAGGCAGTAAGGTTGGATTTTTTTTTTTCTGCAGGCAACACCAAAAAAAACAAAAAACCATAAAGGCAGCGTGCAAAGTCCATTAGTCCAAAGCCACCAATCAGAATGCATATTACATAGATATGACCGTAACCAAGTGAAAACCCGTTGGGTGCTATGGGTTATTGCGCACAGTAGTTACACTTTCCACTCCCTTCCAATCCTTACTTTTATTTGGTCGATCCTGCAGCGCAAACCCAAGCTTACCGCAACAGCCAAACTAATTTTTTAAAGTGGAACTCCTAAGTGCTCGAACCCCTGTGAGAGGTTTTTTTTATTTTAATCCATTTCTATGCTGGATTTCCCCTTTTTCTTTTTGTCCCAGTGATGGTGGGCAGAATTTTTTTAGAACCTCCAATATGGGGACCCAGACAGTAGAGAAAACCTAGCAGAGGCTTAGAGCTACACTATGAACCGCCATGGCAGATGTATGTTGCCAATATCCCGGAATAACTACTCTCTGTTGATCACCACACTGCAATTTTAATAAGGTCCTCTTCCTTTTTCTTTCCAGCATTATGCATGAAGAGGGGAAAGCTGCCATGACTTCAGACCGACAACTACATACTGTTTATGGTCATTTTACAAAGCTGATGAATAGCAAGAACTGTGTTTTTAATAAAGGGGCAGCAGTTACCCGATTTCACTGCAAGCTGTAATAGTCCCAGTTATGGTTTTTTTACAGCTTTCTATCTTCTCATGCATTCTAGTTCACAATAGCCCATATTATCGGAAGCATGCCACTACCCTACTATAGTAGCCAATACAGTTCCTTTGATGGAATGTTATAGCAGGGCTTCTAAGTGGGGTTTTTTTTTTTTATTTACACCCAAGCCCCGTCTCGCCCCCACTTCCCACCTTCAAGGTCTATTTTCACACATTATAGGTGGACTTGAACATGGTTACAGGATTAGCAGCTTAAAGAGAACCTGTTCTTTTCCCAAGCAGGTCAAAATCGGTTTAATACCAGCCTTTGCCGCAACTTATACTTACTGTCCCTCTCCTCCTTTCCCAATCCATTTGTCAGGGAAGAGCAGATGCATACCTGGTACTTAGGATAGTGAACCCCAACCCTTCTACCCATGTCAAACTGCTCAAGAGTCAGCACTATTACCTGGGGGCAAGTAGAGAATTCTCACCTTGGGCAAGCTCAAAATAACAACTCAGAGCTTACACAGGGTTTCTTCTCTTTGCTCTGTGGTTCAGCAAAGCAGCAGAGGAGCAAACTGTATTGCAAAGCTGAATTTCAATAACCGCAGAACGTAGGACCATTTTAACAAGCGGCAGAATTCACTCACATCATGGACTCAGACTGTATATAAAACATAGAGAAGCTTTGAGATTATATTTTATCTATTTATTTTTAATCTTCCCCCCCCCCCCCCCCCCCCCCCACCTAACTTTTAATTGTTTAACTACTCCCCACAATCTATAAATCAGAAGTATTTTCCGTTAAATAACCTTGGTGAAAACCAAACATTGGCAGTAAGGTCAGGATTTAGAAATCGTGCTGAACATGATTTTGTAATTATATAAAAAGCGTTTCCAAAAGGCCTATGCAGAGTGGCGTGTAATACTTTATGGGTACAGCGATTTTCCATCAGAGCGTATTCATAAACTTGCAGTGTAACACTTCAGTGCAAACATTACTTGTCCATTCTGTAAAGTCTTGTGGTGTGTACAGCGTGTCTGCATACAGAGCTCGCAGTAGGTTTTACCTCAGCATCAAAGTGGCCTTATGTAACCTGTTGGTCCCTCATCTCCCTCCTTTAAAAAATAAGCAACAGCATTCACCTTTGCTACTGAACACCGGTCCTATGCGAAGCATTGCTGCTATACTACCAGCCCTGTGATATCTTGGCACAATGTCAGCTTCCTTCAATGCAACGTTGGTTGGAAATCATTTGGAATGTTAAGTCACCCGGAATCAATATATAAATAAGCAAAGAAATAAAATCCCGCCAACAGGATTGATGTTCTGGCTCCAACACGAAACAATATAATCTGCTCAACTGTGACTGACACGGTTCAAACTGGAATCCTAAATTTCATTTGCAACTGTAAACCTGTTACTGGTATTTTCCTTCGCTCTCAGCTGCCTTTATTTTCTTGTAAAGTTTTTAAAAAGCAGAACTAAAGATGACAAAGCCAGCGTCTGCCACATTCAAGTCAACCTAGCTTGAGAACCTAGCTAGATGACGGCTGTACCAGTTCCAGCAATGGGATAGATCAGGGGTAGCCAAACTCCAGGCCTCCAGCTGTGGTGGAACTACAAATCCCATGAGGCATTGCAAGAGTCTCAGACATGATTCCCAGAGAGACATGCATTATGGGATTTGTAGTTCCACCACAGCTGGAGGGCCGGAGCTTGGCTACTCCTGGGATAGGTCAAGCTGCATCCACCGAAAGGATCAAAGGCCATGCAAGGAAAAGCAGAGAGGCTGGCTCAGGAGGTACCAACTCAGCAAGTGGAATCCAGCGTCTCACACTGTATAGGGAGGCCATTGTTTGTTAGAAATGTAGGCTGTAAGAACAATTTTT